AAGGGTAAAATAAAGCATAGAAGATATACAATCTTGAACTTCTCTAGCTGCTGGAACTTGGAAGTACTGTAACCATTTCGTATTTAAGCTTACAGCCATTTTCATGATAGTGGAGGAAAAAAACCACCTTCATTTCTATTCTCTCGGATAGTGCGAAGTTCATTTCTCTTGTCACTCTCCACTGCATACATAACTGTGGTGAAAATAAAAGATATTTTTTTGGATTAATACGTGATAATTTTATTTTATTTACCACCATATTTTTTCTTTTTCTTATTTGTATCTTCCCTATTGCGCGCTCAGGAATAATCGAGAAAGAAAGTGTCTTTATTGTTTACCAAGGAAATAAAGAGATAGGGAGCAAGTCACCAAACATATTAGGATGATGATAATGTGTAAATCACAAAAAAGAGCACACATTAGGGGTGCAAAATCCAAAGCTTTCGCAACAAACAGGTCAGAGAAAGTGCATTGTGGATTCAGCATATAGAGAGATTACCTCCCCTTCAGGTTCACTCGCAACAGGTTCTGTTATCTGTAAAGCCATCGCACTTTTTGCATTTGCAGATTTTGTCTGCTTCCCTTTAACTGAAGAATCATTCATCTGTTCACCAAATAAACCAGTAAGACTAAATTTGCTAAAAGGAGTAAGAAAATTGATTTTTGCGAAAACAAAAGCTGAACCTTTTTCCACGAGTCGTCAGCAAAAATGGAAACTTCGTATGAAGTCTTTGTGCATGGTTCTCTCGCAATGTCCTCAAAACTCTGAAACCCAGAACAAATTCAAACTTTAAACACCTCAAACAACGCAGAAAAGAGAGCAATATGAGATGGTACTGCAGGATTTGATGAAGTTCATGAAGCAATTACCTTAAACAGAGAATCATGACCAATCTCAGACTCTACACGAAGTGAACTGGGATCAAAATGAACTTCCCTCTCGGGAAAATTATTTTCTTCACGAGCAGTAATGCCAGTTTCTCTGGCATCTCTCTCACCTTCACTATCACTGTCACCATAGTAATTGTCTGATGTCGCTTTCTTTTTGGGTACAAGTTCCTGCTTTTTTTGAGCTCCAAAAACTCTCCTACCACTCAAAATATTTGTTCCTTGAGTTTTTGGCTCGTTCTTCTCTTCGAATTCCTTCAATGATGACTCATACTCTTTTAGAGCAAGCTTTGCTTCTTCATCGGCCGCTTCTTTCCTTCTTTTCAATCCGCGGACCTGTGACATCACAGTGTTTCAAGATGGTACATAAACAATCTGAGATGCATAACCATAAATGAAATTCCAAACGTCAAAAAATTAAGAGCAAGTAGTGGTGCAAAGGAAAGATTGATGAAATTACCATGAAAGGTAAAGAAAGCACTCCTGACGCTGGCAATTCTTCATCCCCATCTAAGACTTCAACAGTCTTGTCCTTTGCTTTCTTCAACAGTTTCATTGCAGCGTCCTGATCTGATCCATCAGAAGTCTCATCAAGGTCATCGTCATCACTGCTTTCTTCACTACTACTACTCTCTTTCATGTTATTTGCTTTTCTTGTCAAAAGGGCATGTTGATTCAGTTGTTCAGTAATAGCAGCTCGAGTTCCATCGTCTTGCACATCCAAGCCACGTTGTAAGATGCGCTTTGCCCACTTGGAGCTGTTCTTGTGCTTCAGCGTCATGCGTTCCTACATAAAATTTAGTCTCCAAAGAGACAAACTCAATCAGTAAATAACCTGAAAAGCAGAAAAGACTCCTAGGTAAGTTCGCGCAGGTAATGAAAGAAATTACCTCTGCCCTTTTGAATTCTTGTTTCACTGCCTGCTCTTTGGCTGCTTCTGGATCAGTTTCAACTGCAGTACCTGCTTGTTTCAATCTATCTTTCTTCAGCAAACGATGATACACTTTCGATTTTATCTTCTTGACTTGTTTTGCCTTCATTTCATGACGGAAAAGAAGACTACGCATCTTAGCAAGCTGGTCTTGGCGGTCCCTTACATCTTCTACAGATATCTGCCAAAGTGGTACACGTTAATATAATTAAAAAATTTACAGACACCGTTTTGCTTTAAGAAAACTAAATGAAGAACCATTAGTATGAAATAAGGGGTGTAAAATTTTATGACCTCTATACCTTATTCAGTTCAAGAAGCCTTGCACCATCTTTTCTATGAGCTTCAACAATCTCATTGTCATTAACAAGAGAAGCAATTTCTTTCTCAAAATCAGTTCGTGGTTGAAATTCAGCAGCTATAGCTCCTACAGTAGAAAATCCCACGTCCTTATCTTCGTCAAAATAGATAGTTGTTGCTTCTCTGTTTCTTTTGACATGAGGTTCCCATTTCGTAACATCTTTCTTGCTAAAATCATAAGCTACCTTTCTTTCCAATCTCTGTTGATCTGGTTTCGGCAGAGGTGCATGCATGGGTATGGACTTCTTCTCCATCCGACTCATGCTCTTTCTAACTTTGCTATAGCCAAACTTCCCCTGGAGAGGGCCGAGAAGATCCTGGACGCTAATGCGGCCATCTCCATCCAGAATATCACGACTGGGATTATATTCAGACTCTGGATATGCCTCGGACATAATAACATCATTTTTCTTCTTCTTTCCTATCATTCAGACATCTTTTGATCAGTCCTTCTCATCTTGGATCACACAATGTATTCAAAGAAATGCCATGTAATGACTTTGAAGAGACACATCATATTCTACTAGTAATTCAGAGATCTTTTGATCAGTCCTTCTCATCTTGGATCACACAATGTATACAAAGAAATGCCATGTAATGACTTTGAAGAAACACATCATATTCTACTAGTAATTGCAAGCATTAACCACGAGAAATGTGGGAAGGAAGTTTACCATCAAAAGCATCAGTCGGAAGACCAGTGATTTCTTGCAATAACCGTGAATGCCTTCCATCATGCTCTTCCTCATCATCCTCTCCTCGCCGACCATCCTCGTCTTCATCACCATCTCCTTCATCTGATGATACATTTTCATCCTACATGGAAAAGTTCAATGCTTATAAATAAACCAAAGCCCCCCAAAAAAATTGATTTCTCTATTCCCATCTTGTGCAGCTAATGCAAATCAAAAAAAAATTGATTGTTAAAGTTTATTGATTTCAATAATTAGAATGTGTTGTGGAAGTATTTACAACAGTAGACTGCATTACGAGTCGTGTAATGAGCTCAAAAAGTCAACCATCGCCTCAATGCCATTTGCAACAGCCATGTTGCGCCAAAAAAATAAACAAGATATACATCTGTATTTAATGGTAATTACAGATTCCGATTTGCTCTCAAAAACTCTAGCATTCCTTTCTTTCCAAACTATCCACCAAATCACTGAAGGGATTGTGTTCCAGGTTTTCCTCTTTGCCTTTTCTGAACCTCTTAGGCGCCAACTCTGTAATAACTCCTTTGTTGTCACTGGCATTTTCTAGGTGACCCCCAAAATACTCCAAAAGAAACTCCATATTTGTGAGGTAAATGAACAGTGAAGAAATAGGTGGTTGACATCTTCGGTTTGACTACAACAAAGTAAACAACTGCTGCATAGGCCAATTCCCCTTTCTGAAGATCGTCGTGCATAATACATGTATGCACCCTTTGCCACCATTAAAAAAGGGAAAAAAACAGCACCCCTTTTGTCCCAAACATTTTTTGGCACTTTTTGCTTCCAGCAATTCAATCTAAGTGAACTTGGAACATCAGTAAAGTTGTCTCCGTGTAACCTATAGGTCATGGGTTCGAGCCATGAAGCCACTAATGCTTGAGTTGGGGTAGGTTGTCTACATCACACCCATCGGAGTGCGACCCTTCCCGGTCCGTGCATGAACGCGGGATGTCTAATGCACTGAGGTGTCCTCTTTTTCACCATTCAATAAGGGATTGCAACATTATTAACTTTCGTGTAGTTTCAAAATATTATTTTAGCATATTGTTAACTGATTCCTCCCTATGAAATTCATTCAAGTCCAACGATATTCTTCCATAATAAAACTCAGACATAAGAAAATTCAGCCAAAGATCAAAACTTTCCTACAAAAATAGACCTCAAAAGCACAAAATAAAAGGCTTTAAGTACCTCAAAGTCATCGGGAAGCTCATACTGGAAATTCTCAACAGGGTCAAATCGTTTATTTTTCTTGGATTCTTCTTCAGCAACCCCTTCTTCATATTCATAAAAATCATTAACAGCTTCATCATCAGAAGCAATGTCTTCATCGGAGTATTCATTGGACCTTTTAGGTAATTGAAGCTCCTTTAACATAGCATTAGGCAAACGCGGACCTTTTCTTCTACCATCTTTACCATCATGTGAATTTTGTTTTCTCTTCTTAAAGTCTTTTCGACCTTTGTTTTGTCTGCTCCCTCCTCCTATGTTTTTCCTCTTCAACTCCGCCATCACTGTTGAAAAAGAAGTGTAAGAAGAAAAGGGTCGGTGGGTTTGACACACGCCGCCGTGGGAGACTGGTGGTGAAAGAAATCTCAATGGCTGAAACTAGCGCAAATCAACCGCCATGAGTGTAGTAGGGATGTTGAAGAAAAACCTGGGTAGAGCTTTCGTGCTCCCGGTACGTTGCCCCCGCTTCGGCTCGAACTGTCCGTTTGGGTAAGCCAGGTTTAGAACAATACGCCTCAGGTTTTTACCTAGAATAACTCAGCTTCATGCCGGCTCCCTAGTAGGAACGTTTGTTTGCATCACGTGCATTTGACTTTGGAGGCTCAACACCGGGGTTGGGTCTGTCTAGGACAGGTGTACCGAAAATAAAAAGATCATCCTGATGCATCCTACTTGCTATATGTGCATTCATTTGCCTCGAACATGCTTG